TTGTCTTCCCTGGGGGGTGGCGGCAGCCACTGATGACTTGATGGCTCCAGCATTCTTTGTTTACTGATATGGTTTGCAGTATTTTTTGTTTACACCTGCATCTTTTGAGTTTCTCCTTAAAAACAGAAGCCAATCCAGAACTGATCCTTACTTGCCTTAGACTTTCTTTGGGGTCTTTCAGAGGGAATCCGACCTTAGCACAACTTGCAATTGTAACTTTCCTGGGTAGTGAATTCTACGTTTGATTTTTTTCCCCCAGTACTTTGAGTATGTTATGCCACTCCTTTCTTGCCTGTGAAGTTTCTGTTGAAACTTTGAATTTTGTTTAATTGTATCTCTTTCTGTCACATGTGTTACATCTTGAAAAAGTTTCATCTATTTTAGATGCTTTTTTCCCAGAGTGCCACGTTTTAAATGTTGTATCTTTGAAGTTTTACTGTGGTCATTTAGCTCTATTCCATTGAGTCCTTCTATTATTTATGTATTATTTCCTGCTTCTTATTTGGGTCTGCTGTGCTTTTTCTAGTTTTTTCCCCATGTTTATTATTTTCTGCTAAAAAATATTTTAAAATGCTTAAGAAGAAAAAAGAAAGCAAAATAATTGGAAACAATTATGAACAGGCAGTTGACCCAAAGGTAAAGCCACATGATTTAGAGATCTGTGTAGAAATACTAAACATTCCAGAAATTAGAGAAATAATATGCCGTTTTATTTCTACTAGGTTGCCAAATATTATAGAGTTGTGCAATTCCCTGTGGTGACCAAATTTGGGGCAGAGAAGCAAGGGTACTCATGCTATTCATGTTTAAACTTGGTGAAACTCTTTCAGAGGGGATCTTGACGATGCAGTTAATTAGTGACAGTAAGGATGCGTATGCTGTAAAATCCTGCAGTTCCCTTCCTGGGTATATTCTCTAGAAAAATTCCACTAGAATATAAACTCCTTGCAGCCCAGGCTTTTAGCTTCTTTTCTTCACTGATGTATCCTACATGCCGAGAACAGTGCGAGACAGTTATTAGAAACTTGGTACGTATTTGTTGAATGAAAGAACACTCTCACACAAGTGTTACAAATGAATATGGGTGAGAACGTTCACTGCAGTGTGATTTGCAGTAGCAAAGAAACCTTCAATGTACGAGACATTCATTTTGAAGGGGACGGAGAATGATGAAATGAATGACAGTATTCAAAAGAATAGTAGTCTTCAAAGGAGTGCAATGCTACAGTGAGAAGTAGTAAGTATGCGATAATAGGGCCAGACTGCCGTAAAGTGAAGAGTAAGCATCAGACAAGCACAAAGCAGTGTATCAACTTAGAATATAAACGGGGGACGGTACAGCGCAGTGGTAGAATGCATGCTTAGCATGCAGGAGGTCCTGGGTTCAGTCCCTGGTACTCCCACTAAAAATAAACAAATAAACCTAATTACCCCCTCTCAGAAAATAAATACATAAAATAAGAAAAAGTGATAAATCTTTAAAAATTTTAAAAAATACAGATAAAATGGAGCTTTATATTTTGAAAAAGGCATTCATTTTAAAGATGTGAATTAAAGCAATTAGAGTAAGTAGGAGAATGGAAATGAGTGAAAATAGAAAATTAAACTTAAGAAAAATAAAATAAAACAGAACCGCAAGGCACCTGCACTGACCAGTAGTGGGGTGTTCCAGTCCAGTCTGCGTTTTGCCTTTGAAGTCCAGGAATGAAAAGTGTGTGCTTATGTCATGTTAGCTTGTTTCGTCTTTTTAAACATATGATTCAATTTACTAATGATTTAGTTTTCCAAGAAGGCCTTAGATGACAAAATTACTTCTTTACTAAGTGGATTGATTCTATGCCCTAAACCAGGTATTTCCTTGTGATTAATTCACAATGAACAGTCTGGCTTGCTGGTTTGTGGCAGACAGACTACCTGTTTGTCTCGCTGTGATGAATCCAGCATTGGAAACGTGGCATCATTTTACAAAACAACTGAGGGGCTGAGCAGCCATGGAAATAAAACACAAAGATGGCAGACACGACACACTTTATGTAACTTGTTAAAGTCAAATCGATACCCAGAAGCTGCAAGTATGTATACTGGCGATTGTTTTTGGCCTGTTAGCACACGTGTGAAATGACTGTGGACTCGGCCCATTTTGCTAGAAACAGGTGTCGTGTCCTCCCCACAAGTGGCACTTGTGTGTCTGAGCTGGGGTGTGAATGGCATGCTCTCACAGCGAGGCATGACATATCCTTGTTAACATTTAGGACTAATGGCCATTGAAGAAAAAGCTTTTTTTTTTTCTATATTGAGAAAACTGTGTTCTCATTGGTCTTATTAGAAAATGGATAAAATGAATAACAGAGGGGGAAAACGAAGCAGATAATGCCGGGCTGAATACTGCAACATTCTAGGGAAAGAACCAGCTGGCTGCAAGGAGAGCAGAGACGCACAGAGAGGAAGTGAATGGGTCCCGTTGTGCCTGAAATCCTCCAAGGGTAGAAGAAAAGAGACCAGAATGTAAAGCACAGGGGAATAGGCAGATGACAAAAGAGCCTTTATCTAAAAGGTCCTATTCAGAGATGTGGTCTTCTTTTCAGGCAGGCACAACAGTTACAAGAAGTGTGTTTGTCCCTTTACCTTCAAATTTCATGCTGTCCGTGTTGTCATGTTTGAAAGTGACATTTTAAAAGAAGGACCTGATTTTCTGTTAGCAATAATTAAGAGAGGACAGGTTGGGAAAATGACTGCAACACTTAGGTTGTTATCTAAGAGTTTTGTTTGATTCCACCTACTATTTTGTACTTTCTAACTATACGTATATATTGTTCATATCCACGTAATTCTAAGAAGGATTTGAAATGATTATATCTTTGTAGACAATCTACCAAGTTAATGCCATATTTTAAAAAATATTTTCTTATTTTTTCTTCCTGTAATGAGGACTTTTAAGATCTACTCTCTTAGGAACTTTCAAATACACAATATGGTATTGCTAACTATATTCACCAAGCTGCACGTTATATTCCTGAACCTCCTTATCCTATAATGAGACGTTTGTATCTTTCGACCATCTTTACCATTTTACCTCTCTCCCCTCACTATCCACCCACCCCCGACCTCTGGCAGCCACCAGTGTGTTCTCTGTATCTTTGAGTCAGGGTTTTTTTTGGTGTGTGGGGATTTTTTTTTTTCAAAGATTCCACAGATAAGTGAGAGCATACGGTATTTATCTTTGTCTGTCTTATTTCACTTAGCATAATGCCCTCAAGGTCCAAAAGCCTTCATGGCTCTTAAAATTTTTGTTACAAGATCATAAGCACATGCTCATATTTTTCTTTTAATACTTGGATGGTTCTATTTCTTCCATTCTTATGTTTGAGACATTAATTGACTTAGATTTTATATTTGTATGGTATGAGTAAGGATCTATCTTGATTTTGTTTTGTTTTTAATTTTCTCAATATAACTTAAAGTGTGTCTTTTCCTTACTAATGTGAGAGGCACACTACATTCTTGTGTATATAAGATCCTTGGGTTTTAAATTTTTTGATCTTGCTGCTTGATACAACAAAATTTCTTGTTTCATTTTGTTTAAGTTGTCGTGGCTATTCTGATTCCATGAAAATTAAGAATTAACTTGTCAATGGCCATAAGAAAGATTTGTTTTGTGCATTGAGTTGGAATAGATTGAAATGATAGCCAAATAACAGGAAGTGGACATTTTCACCATTTCCAGAATTCCCAAACACTAACACTTAACAGCTGTCCATTTATTTTGGTTTTCTTTTTTGTTACTAAGTAAGGCTTAATAGAAAATGGTCTAAAACCGTTTTTTTCTAGGAACTTAGTAGCTTGTTATTTTTGCTTACACGGCTACAATACTGAAGAACTGTTAATTGAAAATTTATTGATGTAAAATAGACACAAAGAAAAATGCACAATCTTAAGTATATATAGCGTGATGAATTTTCACAAAGTAAACCTACCAGGTAAGCAGCACCCAGATTAAGACACTGGGTTATCATCACTTCAGAAGCCTTACTTTCTTCTAGTCAGTATCACATCCTGGATGAATAGTCACTATGCTGGTTTCTTACAACATAGATTAATTTGCTCTGTTTTAATACTTGACATAAATGGAAGCACACTGAATATATACTTATGTGCGCGACTTCTTTTACTCACAATTATATATGTGAGCTTCATTCATACTGTTGCGTGTAGTTGTAGAGACTTCAACCCATATTCTTGCTGTACAGTATTTGCTATTAATAAATGCCAATGTGTTTATCAATTCTACTGGTGACGGTGTTTACGCAGTATAGTTTTAGTTGATTATGAATAAAGCTATGTTGAGTATTTTACTCAGGTTTAGTGAACATTTGTGTGCATTTGTCTTGGGTCTGTCTCTAAGAGTAAACTTGCTGCGTCAGAGAAAAATGCATATGTTTGCATTTGTAAACATTGCCACAGTTTTGCTGAATGCTTGTGCCAATTCACACTGTCATCAGCAACGTAAGAGGAGTCTGTTTATCCACATTCTGGATGACAATTGGCATTTTCCATCTGGTCCTTGTGTAGTAGTATTTCATTGTGCTTTTAATTTGCATTCACTTCACTTGATGTCTAATAAGGTTGAGCTTTTTTTTGTATTTTTATTGCCATGTCGATACTCTTCTTTGTAAAATATCAATTCAAGTCTTCTGTCATTTAAAAAATTGCTTTGCTGTCTTTTTCTTAGCAACTTAGAATTTCTTTACATTTTATTAGTATAACACATTGGATATATTTTATCTAGCTTCTGTGGTTGCTGTTTTACTCCCTTAGTAAAGTGATGAACTGAAACTCTTAATCTTAATATAGTTCAATTAAACTATATATTTTTTCTTTTATTGTTATTACTTTTTGTGTTCTGCTTAAAAACATTTTGCCTATTCTAAGATCATATTTTCTTTTATTTTGTTCTGAAAACTTTACTGTTTCTCGTTTCACATTTAGATCGTCAATCCATTTGGAGTAGATTTTTACATACAGGGTGAGGTAAGGGATCAAGATTCATTTTTTTTCCCCAATGAATATCCAAGTCCATCTGGCACCATTTATGAATATGACGACTTTCTCTTGTTACACTGTTGTGGCGTGTTTGTGGCATGTTTGTGGCTGAAAGACAGTGGCTGAATGTATGTGTCTAGACTCTGTTTTGTTCCAGGATATAGATATATTTGTCTATCTTTGGGTTAATGTCACATTGTCTTAATTAGTAAAACTTCAGAATAGGTCTTGGAGTTGAGCAATGCTGGTCCACCAGCTTGCTTCTACTTCCTCAGAAATGCCTTGGCCATCGTAGACGTTTGCATTTCCACATGTGAATTTTAAAACTACCTGGTCAATCAAAAGTATTGCTGAAATATTGGCTGGAATTGCCTTGAATCTGCAGTTTAATTGGGAGATTACTGACATCTTTATAACATTGACTCTTTCAGTTCACAAGCATTGTATAACCCTCCATTTATCTAAGTCCTTTAAATTTTCTCTGAAAAATGCTTTATTTTCAGTAAAAAGATATATATATCTTTTATTAGATTTTTCCAAGGTATTTTATGTTTCTAAGTGCCATTATAAGTGGTGTATTTTTCCTTTTTTTTTTTGGTGGCTGATATATAGAAATACAGTTAATAATGTACATTGGACATCTTGTATCCAGTAACTTACTGTATTTATCAATTCTACTAGCTTGTCTATAGATTATTTTAGACTTTTCTAGGTAAACAAACATGACTCCTGTGAATAATGACATTTCATTTCTTTCTTTACAAACATATAACTTTTATTTACTTCTTATTTCACTGGCTAGTGCTTCTGGCACAACACTGAATTTTTGTGAGAGTAAGCATACTTATCTTATTCAAGGGAAGATTTCAATATTTCATCATTGAGTATAACCATTGCTATAGATTTTTAAAGGTATTATTTATCAGTATCAAGAACATTTTTTTTCATTCTGCCTTGCTAAGACATTTTATCATGAATGTATGTTAAATTTTATGATGTGATTTTATATATCTATTGAGATGATTATGTGTGATTTCTGTCTTGTTTCAATGTAGTAAGTTACATTGTTTTCTGACCTTGAATCATACTTGCATTCATGACAGAAGCATTTATTAGCTGACACCTGTTGGACTTTGTATACATCACTAAATTCTTTTTTCTTATACCTGGTTTAAAGTGTTTGCATCTGTGTTAGTTAAGAAATTTCGTCTGTAATTTTCCTTTATTTCTAGTGTTCTGGTGAGGTTTTGGGATCATCTTGGCATTCTCGTAAAGAGTGTTATGAAGTTTCCCTATTTTGCTATTCACTGGAAGAATTTAGGGCATGTTATTTCTTCCTTAAATTTCTAGAATAAATCAGCTGCTGAAGCCAAGTAGTCTTGATTTTTTTTTTATTGACAAGAATTTTAATAACAGATTCAATTTCTTTAGTATGCATAGGCTTATTTAGATTTTTTATTTCATCTATCATCTTGGGAAGTTATTTTCTTAGTGAAGATTTTACTTATTTCTTACAAGTTATCAACTTTATTGATATACTATATACTAATTTTCTTTAAAAGTGTGGAGTATCTATATACAATGTTTACTTTTCATTTGTGATATTGATAATTTATATTTTCTCTTCTTTGATAGATCAGTTTTGCTAAGGTTTTTTTTAAATCAATATCTTTTACAAAAAGTGATTTTTGGTTTTGTGTATTCTGTTTACTGTGTATTATCTTTACTTTGTCTATGCTATATACTTACGTTATTATATTATTTCTTTTTCTATTTTCTCAGATTTGTCTTATTATTTTTCCAGCATCTTAACATTGAAGTTGGAGGCATTGCCCTTCAGCACCTCTCTTTCAAATATTTATGCATTTATTTAAGTCCAAAAGTTCTTGAAAATACTACTTTAGCTGCATTCCATAAATTTTGATGTGGCATCTTTGCCATTTTTTATTTTAAAAATATTTTCTAATTTCCATTTTGACTTCTTTTCTGACCTGTGATTCACTCAGAAATATATCTTTAATTTCCAGATGCATGGAACTTTTCTACTCATCTTTTGTTATTGATTTTCAAGTTAATTAAGAATCTGATCAAAAGATAGAATCTAAACATTTTTAATCTTTTCAAATTTCTTGAGGGTTTCTTTTTGCCCTAGTTTATGATATACTTTGATAAATGTTTCTTGTATGCTTGGGGAAAATGTCAATATGTTACTATTAGATACAGTGCTCTATGTAGTTTAATTAGGTCTTTTTGTTAAATGTGGATGTTTTGTGTGTGTGTGTGTGTGTCCCTACAGGTTTAAGATTGTGATGTCTTCCTGTTAGGATGACTCTTTCAGGAAATATCTCTTTATATCATGATCTCTAGTAATGTTTGTTTGCTTCCTTCAAGTCTATGGTATTTGATTTTAATTGTCAAGAACAATTAAAGATCTGAGACTTTGCCCTTCTTTGCAAGCTAGCAAGTTAGGCTGCCATAGCTTCATGGATGTTGGGAGAAGACACACAATTCCTGACTCAGAGATAGATATAGAACTTTTACTCACAGCAATGAGAGTAACCAGATCATCAGAATTGTACTGTTTCCTCGAATCCCAGCTCGCACAGGGTGTTGAAGTCCACCGGACGCCATTGGATTGTCGCTTCACCAAATCACAAGTGCACCAGTTTTAGGCATTTAGCGAGAACTCTGAGTCAAGAGTTCCAACAAGCCAACAAGCTTTACTACAGGAGGTAAAGGGAGGGATAAAATTTTTCCGAAGGGAGAGATAGCTGCTTTTACCCTGTTTGGGTTTTATGGAGTTTCTTGAAATGTTAGTTGATAATCTTAATCAGTTTTGAAAATTTTTTCATGGATAATAGATTTCTTATGCTTCTCCTTACTCAATTTTCTACTAGCCTTCGTGCCTTACACAGTTTCTCCTGTCTCCAATTCCTGAGCCATCTGAGGGGTTTGTTGTGTCATTGGCTTACTTCTTATCAGCGCCACACTATAGAGGCACCTGATGGTCACTCTTCTTAATTCATCTGAAACCTCTTCCTCCCCACTGTCTACCTTCAAAAAACTTGTTGATGGCTCTTCCCAGTGTTCTCTTTGTCTATTATACCTACTTTATTCTTTCTATTTTTTGAGGGATTTTCATGTAGAGATCAGTGATAAATAATGTATTTATTCCATAATATATAACCTAAATTCTCCACTCTAATATTTTCAGTTTTCCTATTTTTATTTGGTTTTAAGTGTGTCTCTTGTAATTATCAGTTAACAGGATGTAAGTTCAGAGTGAGGGTTTCATGATTTAGGTGAGTTTAAGCCACCACATTATTTATTGTCCACATTTATTTTTGCTGATATTTCATATTGACGCTACATCTCAAATGTTGAGCGGTTTTGTATTCTGTATTCCAGTTTGCATTTGAGGATTTTTGCCTCTCATAGAATCTACGTGGACAGCCTATGGGAGGTCTGGGAAATACGTGAAGGGTTATGGGCCACACTGTGCTCGGGGAACGGTGGTAGACAGGATATGCAATGTGATCACTGCCTTGTTTCTCTTCTTCCAACTTCCACAATAAATAATCCATCTCAGAGTAAGATACCCCATACCCTCCTGTTTGGCCCAGGTGTTAAGGGATGGTATGGCAAAATCTCTATTTTTGGTTTCTCCCACTTTGTTATTCAAGTTGATCACCCTGCTTGCGTCTCTGGAAGTCCTCGATCATTGATTCTACTGTTGTGGTCGTGCTCAAATTTGTTTAAGCTTCTGGGTCAGTGCAGTCCTATAGTCTAGAACACGTTCAGCTGGGAGGCATGCCCAACTGTTCTGTTCTCAGTCTGTTACAGATTTCTCCCATCTTCTGAACCACTAAGATTATTTATCTCAGTTTTAAGCAATGCTACATTTATATCATTTATAGGATTTGGTGCAGGAGGTGAGCCTGCTGGGGGTGGATGTGATCAGTCTACTCTCTTAAAGCCAGAATCCTTAAGCACTGCCACATTTAGATATTTGATGGCTCATTTATTCATTAATGAAAATTAGACTCTTCTGCTAAATCTTGCATTTCATATTGACCAGTACAGTTTGAGGTCTCTGTTCCAAAAGCTATTAAGGATTCAATTAAAATTCTCTCATACAGCATGAATATTATATAATATTATAAATCACCTGGACTCTCTATGCTAACATGGTTGTCTTTCCATTTGAGAACATACAGCGCATCTTTAATTTCTAGATTATATCAGGGTGTTGGCTGAAATCTAATGTCATCTGTGGTTGGTTATGCTCTTTCATTTTAATCTACAGAATCTTAAAGTTCTTCTTTATTCCTGAAGACAGTGCATTTGGAGAATGGTTTGGGAGGTTCCTCTTCTTTGTCTTCTACTACAAGCTGTTTTGGAGGATAATCTGATAGTCCAGATCTCTATTAATAAATTTAGGCCCTTTATTATAGATAAGTCTTCATTAGTGGATTCAGTGCCTCCATTTCCCAAGCTTGTCTTATTTTCTACAAAAATGAATCAATTTACTTTTCTTAATTATTTTCTTTTAAAAAATATTCTAATAAGGATTCTTTTCAGTTATTTTCCTTTTCAATCCTTAGTCTCTAGAGCTTTTGAAAGTTAGCAAGGAAAGACGGCGTGTGCGCAGACTAGAAACACATGCATCTCATGTCTAACGTTGACCCAAGTGTTGACAGTTTGTGGTAGATGCTGTTATATTAAATTTAGTCAGGTATAGATATGCCCTGAGTTGTAGGAGACCCAGCTGTGTTTAATTTAAATATAATTTCCAAAAGAGTGAAGGATTTTCTAATAGAACGACTGCTTAAAAGTGGGCGCTTGGAAGGATTGACTGTCAGTCAAATATGGGGGGAAAAAGCAAAAGAAGGTGCAAGAAGAGGCAGAGAAAGAATGAAATATAAAAAGCAGAATATTCCTCTTGCAAAACCTGACAGCTTCAGAACAGCAGTGCCCCTAGATTACAAATCAAAGTGATCTTAATCAAGAGCGTAAATTTGGAGATACAGGCTGTTTCTCTAGATAGCTACATATAGATCGTATTTGTAATCACATTATACACACCCAAATGTTTTTGTAGCAACAAAGATAGAAAAATGTTTCTTTATATGACCAGAGAAAAACTTTGATGTTAAGAAAGGAAACAAGAGAAAAATAGTACTAGTGGAAGTTAGAAATAGGTGGCAGAGCAATTCCTTCTGCATTGCATTTTCAAGGCATCTTCATCCCAGACCGTCAGCCCCATCCTCACTTCCCTAGGGTCCTTGTGTCTCTACATTGCTTTTCTGCTCCATCTTTCTAGCTGATATGTGGATAGCAATGTGTCTTGTGTTTGTGTGTGAGTGTGCTCACATAGATGCCAATAAAAATATACATATACAAATGTTTTTCTCTTTAGGTCAGTCCCCTCTCTGGGCCTGTGTTGATACAGCCCATCGGGGACTCATTCATTTAGAAAAGATTAGGGAATATTACATTTCTTTGAGCTTCAACTAATTCCAGACAATGATCTTAAAGAAGATACAGGAATCATACAAAGTTGGTAGGTAAGTAAGCATTACGGTCATTTGTCAGGTCCTAGACGCCCATAACAGAGTCACCAAGTTGCACTTGCTTCGTTTCAATGTTTGCTTCATTTTTTCTCACTTCCTAGTTGTATAAAGCAAACAAGTGAAAAAAGGGGAGATGCGTATTTTTCTCTGCCCATCACATCCTTCCCCAGGCACATAAAAAGGCATAATTCTGGCAACAGTTTGGCTCTCCAACAAGGAATTTATCTACACTTACACCTTATTGAAATGTTGTGATTAAATAATTTTAATGTAACAATGTGAAATGAGGATTAGCTGCTGATATGTGTGGGACAACCCGGCATCAGCTCAACTGGGAAAATGCCTGGCTGCCTCCTGCCTTTTGACTTCTGACTGCTTTAACTTACTCTGGTCCATTTATAATACTTCCATCTTTCCTGAAGTAGCTACTTGCCCAGGTCTAGTCTCAACAGACTTTCTGCTTTCTGTACATGCTCATTTTCCTACAAGGAGATGTTGGGAAACAATTAGAATTTCCAAAACTATATAGACCTTAGGCTCCCAGTGTCCCTAAGGCGTATATTCTGTGTAACGTGCTTTCTATGGGATTTTTAATATTTTGTGTTTTTATTTTAATACTATTCTACAACAATTACACGTATATTCTGAACTATTTGAAAATGGCTTTATAATAGAATAGTGATACATGACTTCAGTGTCTCTGCTTGCATTCTTGCCACCTTCTTGCTTGTGCCAAAGGAAGGCGATAGGATGTCACGGTGTTCTGTAAAGTCAAAAGTTTTTTCAATGACTTGAGCAGAGAAAGTGGGAGGACTCAACCATCACATGACACACAGAATGCCAAACAGGAAATAATATGCTTCAAGTAAAGCCTGTGCTCACATGTTAAGTAGATTACTTGAATAGATACTCTTTTTGTAGGCACCAGTTAAATATGAGAATAGTGGTAAAAATACAAAGAACCATTGTCCGATCACTGATTCTTTAAAAAATTTTCACTATTGTACTTCAGATTCAGTATTAAATTTATCAGCCCATGCAGTAGCTGACCAGTGGTTAAAAACTGCTTCATCTTTAAAACAACAACAATAATGATGGTGATGTATAGGATTGTCCACTGGGTTAAGATGCAAAGGAACCAAGATGACAGAAAACAAAAAATCAGACACATAAGATTAAACTCTATTATTAAACCTAAAATAGCTGATGGACATTCATCGGGAAAACACCGTCCACCACTCTGATGTTTTTACTTCGGAGCATTATTGATGTTGTAGGCTTGCTTGTATTAACTTTTTAATTAAAATATGTAACATATACAGGCACCAGTTAATTTTATAAAAGTTTTTGTTTGTATATGTAGAAGTTGCATTTGAAAACAAATAATTTAAAGTAAACATTGAGGCTGTATCAGAATAATTTAACCCAAAAGGGGGCTGCTGTTTGTGGTTTTGCCCAGTATAAAGGAGAAGGCTTCTCTCGGGAGCAAGGAACGGTGCAAATACATGGTTAACAGACAGTGAATGAAGAAGAAGGAAAAGTGAGGAGAAAGAAGCTCTATTTCCTGTCTTCTAAATCTGTACCTAATATCATGAAATTTGTTTCATACCTACGAGTGTAAATTGACAGCATGTGGAAACTTATCTGATTCTTACAGAAGAGTTTCAGGAAACTACATTACAGGAAAAATTAACCAAAGCACTTCTCTTGGTACTAAATCAGATGTAATTTTACAGTCTTCTCTAATAAACCCTTGAAGTCAAAGACAACATCTATATTTCCTATTTCTGAAATACTTCCACAGTTTCAGTCACGTGTGGAGGCCCAGGTGGCGTAAAGGAACTAAGACGACTTTTAAGTAATAATGAATAATGTTTCATTTGGAGAGAAATACTAACTTACAAATACAGGTGCAGACACTTCCCATGAAGCCTTTACACTTAGGTGAGAAAACAGAAGCATACAATGAGATTTTAATTTTTTTTAAACCAGAACTTGATTTGTTTTTCTGTTTTTAGTGAGTGAAACCCTCGTTTTTGGAAAATGCCTGGGGAGGGAGTTTTCCAAATTATATGTGAAATAGAAGTCTAGGTAAGTTTTCAAAATAAATGAATAATAAAATATAAATATATACAATTTTTGTTATAGCTTAGATTTTTAATGGGTCATAAGTATGTCAAAATTATATTACAGAAAGCAGTACAATTTCAGTAAAGAGAGTTTATAATCTTGTTTTAGTCATTGGGAGGTAATTTAATGTTCTGAAATTTCCTTCCTGAAATCAAATTTCAGTTATATTCTGAACTTAGTGTAAGTTATTGAAAAAAATCTGCTGAGTTTTTGTTCATTCGATGAAAGTTTACTTTACTTTAGTCAAACATCACTTGTGCCCAGACCTTTTCCATTTATTATTCTGAAAAATTACTGGAAATAGATGATGATAGGGCTTCAGGGAAAATTATTATTAACTTTTTCTAGAACAGTTTTTTATTACCAAATAATGGACATATTAAATTACTTAGAAAACAAATTATTTTTAATAGAAATGAACTTTAATTCATATTTCCACAAAGTAAAAAAATATTTCTTCTGAAAAGAAACAAGTCTCTCAGGAATGTAGTTACATAGAAAATAATTCAAGGTGTAAATGTAATCTAAGAGCTGGCAGGTCTGCATCATTCAAAAACTAGTGAAAATCAACAATGCTTCAGAAGTCAGCAAGTGTGATTGGTGGTAGACAAAACAGGCATTGCAGGTTGGGAAAGGGAAGAAATAAGGTAGAAGTGGAGTTGTAAAAAGAAGGAAACGAGGGAGAAAATTTCATAATGAGTTTGCGATTTTCAGTTTCACTGTATCAGGACTTCCTCAGAGTTAGAACTAAACATTGTGGCTAGCTATGGATTAAGAATTGATCAAATTTCTCTTTTTTAATTTTTCAAAAATTTTGTTTAGTTTTAAAAATTTTGTTGGGGGGAGGTAATTAGGTAATTTACTTTGTGATGGTGGTACTGGGGGCTGAACATAGGACCTTGTGCATGCTAGGCATGCACTCTACCACTGAGCAGTACCCTCTCCTAATTAAATTCCTCTTGATAAAAAAGTGTTTCTTCATGAGAGTCCAGCTGGTCAGAATGAAGCTCATGTCACTAATCACAGTCATGAAGGACCTGGGAGTTATAAACAATACTCTTTCTTAATTAAGACATCCAGAAAAGGGGAAGATGGCACACCATTTCCTGCTGACCACAGATGTACATTGAGTTTTATTCCTTGGCTGTTCAACGGAAATGACATTTTACTCAATGTAATCTTTTCAGAGACTTGGCATTCAACAGAACCTTTCGGTACAGTGAATTATTTTATTTGGGGAAATCAGGAGCAATTCATACAAAAGCACTGATTTGATTCTCATTTCTACAGAAAAGAATAAAAATCAATTTCCTCAAATGTATCACAGTTAACATGCCCACCTGGATTCTTGCTCCCATCTGCTTTCAAAGAGGCCAAAGAAAATCACGCTTGTAATTGTAGAAACACAGATTAAAATTGCACTGGAAGACTTGGAAATGGAACTCCCTCCATTTTTCAAATATCTTTATGAGTTATAGATACAAGTTTTTCTTCTCTCCAAGACAAGAGAAGTGATCTGCTGCACTCTAGATAAATAATCTTGTTATTTTTATTATACATGAAGTGTTAAAAACCTTTCAGCTTTTAAATTAAATCAGTTATGCATTCGAGCATTTACACAGAAACTGTCACAAAGTAGAGATTCAATAAATGTCTGTTACAATACTTTGAGTGTAAATTTATTTTTCTTTTTAGTTCTACACATTTATATGAATACACAGTTTTGACAATTATTTTTGTATCTCTGAATAATATGCCTATATTGCTTACATAAAATTATTTTCATTCTTTTTGCTTTTTCCACTACTCTGTCTTCCAGCTCATTGATCCATTCTTCTGAATCATTTAGTCTGCTATTGTTTCTGTCCAGTGTATTTTTCATTTCAGTTAATTGTATTCTTCATCTTGGTTTGTTTGTTCCTTATATTTTCTAACTCTGTTATAAACTTTAAACTTTTTATTCTGTGTATCCATACTCCTTGGAAAAAAGGAAAATACAGGGAAAAAAGGAAAATATAAGGAAAAAAAGCTCCTTGACATGGGTCTTGGTAATAATTTTTTGAATATGACACCTAAACCAAAAGCAATTAAAGCAAAAATAAGCGAGATTACATAAAACTAAAAACCTTCTGCACAGCAAAGGAAACCATCAAAAAAGCGAAAAGACAACCTACAGATTAGGGAAAAAAAGCCATATATCTCATACAAAGCTAATATCCAAAACACATAAAGAACTCACACAAACCAATAGCCAATTAAATAACCCAATTTAAAAATGAGCAAAAGACTTGAATAGACACTTTTACAAAGAAGATCTGTGAATGATCAACAGACGCATGAAAAGATGCTCAGCACCACTGGCCACTAGGGACATGCAAATCAAAACCACAATGAAATCTCACCTCATGCCTGTAAGAATGGCCATCATTATAAATGCCAAGAGATGACAAATGCAGGAGAGGATGCAGAGAAAAGGGAATCCTTGTGCACTGTTGGTGGGATTTCACATTGGTACAGTCACTCTGGAAAACAGTATGGAAGCCTGTCAAGATATTAAGAATAGAACTATCACATGATCCAGCAATGCCACTTCTCGGTATATAGCCAAAGGAAGTGATAACACTAACTCAGAAAGACATCTGCATCTCCCATATTCACAGCAGCATTATTTGAAATTCTAAGACATGGAAATGGATTAAAAGTCCATTCACAGATGAATGGATAAAAATTTGTAGAGATATATATATATATACACACACATACACACACACACAATGGAATATTATTTAGCCATTAAACAAATGAGGAAAATTCTGCCATTTGTGGCAACATAGATGGACACTGAGGACATTTTGCCAAATGAATTGCCAAGCAGATAAAGACAAATACTGTATGATCTTACTTATATGTGGAATCTTGAAAAAAAAAAAAACTCATAGAAAAAGATCAGATTTGTGATTACCAGAGGTGGGGTATGGGGTGGGTGAATTGTATGAAGGTACAATTTTCTAGTGATAAGATAAATAAGTACTAGAGATACAATATACAACATGATGACTATGGTTACCATTGCTGTAAAATATATATTATGGTTGTTTAGAATAAATCCTAAAAATTCTCATTACAAGGAGAAATGTTTTCAATAATTTCTATATAAATATATACATATATACACACATATATATACACATACATACACACACTGTGTATTTATGCTGTATACCTGAAACTCATGCAGTGATATGTCACTTACATCTCAATAAAAGTGAAAGAAAATTTACTTGGAATTTTTCTGCTTGTAAAATTTGTCTTTTACCCCCCACTTGTTTATTTATTTATCCAATCATTTATTTTTATCACCAAAGTCTCAGACACATATTTTGTACTTTGGGTTGTAATTCAATATCGCTTTATTTATTTTGTTTTTCAAATTGTTGTAGCTTCCAGAATCTTATATGATTCCATTTTTATCTCCTCTTTTGTGTGTCTGAGAAAGTCTATTTCTTCATATCTCTTAATTGCAGGGAGTTGGCTAGCCTAATTGTGGAGACTGGCAGGGCAAACCTGACATCCATAACCAAGACCATGAACGTGCACTTGTTTATAATGTCATCTTATCCCATTACGTAAATCCCTTCCATCTCTGTCTATTACTGAAAATATTTGGAGTGAAAAATGCATTTAAGGGTGAATAAAATATTACAACTATAAATACTCACTTTTTGCATGTATGGCTTGAGCTAAATATTGTCTCTTTTGGAATTGTTCTAACAAATTGGTTTTACCGTTAGAATCTGAGTATAAACTTGGCATATAGAAATAAAATCATATGGCTGTGATTATTTTTCTCATCACTCTATGTTATGTTTCTAAAATGGAAACCACGGGACTTATACAAGAAAAATGACTTGGTAGAAATATGACCACAGGAAAAATATTAGTAGCTTAAGTTTACATTGTTCTCCCTAGAGGTGATATTTATTTTATAATGAAAATGCATTAAATGACCTGTAATGTCATAAGAGGTAAGTAAACTAACACCCTGTGTTGCTGAAGGGAGCTAGTGTATTTTTCACATACAACATTTCAAATATATATTCTCAGTCATTATCTACTTTAGGCATCAATTTTTCTTAAAAAACCCTCAAAACCAAAATCAATGAAAAAGTTTAAGCATGATTTGAGATACTTTAAAAAGTCAAATCAATAAATACATTAAATTATTTTATTCACAGCAAATGTTCAAAATCTCCACGTAGCAAATGCTGGGCTTCCTTCTTCTTCTCTTTCCTCCTATTTTTCTTTCGCTCATCAGTCACTAAACACATAAATAAATTTAAATATCAATCAGATGGAAAAAAACTCTACCATATTTCTTTCACATAGTAAGCCCTTAATAAATGTTTTAAGTGACTGAATGAAAAATTAAACATTAATGATGAATCCCAATATGTGTTTTGTTTTGTTACTAGTGGTGTTGCTGATTTTTTTTGTATAAATAATCAAGAGATTATTACAAAGTCACAGTAAAGTTATGCTGTGTGTGTAACCCTCAGGTTACAGTCCCTAACTTGAAGAGGAGCACAGAACATAACTAGAAAGTTAAGGGGGAGAGTGAACTGTAATATTGAATGGCATATTGCAAAACCATCCAGGAGTTTATTTAAAAACTAAGGTGATCAATGTATAAAATTTCTAAGGAATAACAAAGAGGTTAATTGGTTAATCTATGTTGTGCTGTGAATTCTCAGTTCTTAAATCTCTTATTCAACTGTGTGTGACTTTAATCTTTTGTTTCCTTTCCATCTGTATAGATTTTTATTAGAACAAGTTATCTGTTTCTCTGGCCTTGCTTCCACTTATTCTATTCAAATTCTAATATGGTTTCCTACATGCATATTGTCTCCTATTCCAACTTATTCTGAAAAGGTCTTCTGCCACTGCTGAGGGTCAAAGAAGTTTCTGTATTGCCAAGACCCACCAAGGACACAACAATGGCGCCTACAGTGGCCAGTCAACATTTTCTTCAAGACTATAGGTGCTGGATGATGAGGATTCTTATGTCTGTGCCAATCTGGGGTGTTAAATATTGTTAATTGATTAGGGTATTCCAGTTGCTACAGATTTACAGCAATGTCCCCTCAAGAATCCTGTCATTTGCATTAAAACTGGCACTTCTGATCACTGCGATAGGAAGCCTTGTCTCCTTGTTCTTGAGGATTGTGGTAAAAATGATTGATTTTCAGTTTTTTTCTTGACTGTTCATTAAATTCCCCTGCTCTATTGCTCGGGCACAAATCCCTGCAAACTCCATCAGAGAACAACATAGAAGAGACATTACGCCGTATTTCAGAATTTCTGACTTTTCCTCCTTGGACTGAACTTGATTTCTCTGGCTCTATTTTTCTCTAGAACACACTCTTATTCAGGCAATATATCAATATCTGTACAAATAGAGCCCCAGCTGGCCCACAAGATAAGTTCTCCAGGCAACCCAGTGGGGCTCGAGTCCTAGAGTAAACAGATCGGGTACTGAAGCCAACGTATCTATAACGTATAAAATGCTCTCCAAAACCCAAGTCAAATTAAGAAATCTCTTATTGCCGTAATTCCCTTTCATTATTAGAAATTATCATACACTTGTACTGTGAAAGTATAAGTCACTAAAAACATAATTATCATTTTAAGTAATGGCTAAGTAGTGCTGTAGTTTAATATTGCAATTTTGCTCACTTTTATTCATAATTAATCTTTTATAGCTTCCTTCTCCCTCCCACAAAGATGTTAAAGCTAAAAACAAATATGGGCTAATATCTTTAGCAGGAAAGACTAATTAAAAATACTTAATTCGGCTTTGGTGAGCATTTATTTTATGAATGCAGATCTTTTGAACTAAACTTTTTCTGTCTCTATTCTAGCCATTTCTCTTCTTAGGGTTTGAAAACCTAGCTGTTAAATTCACATATGAATTTCATTTTGACGTATGTAATGGATTCCAATAATATTTCCACT